TTCATTATAAATATCTAAATATCTATTTAGACTGATTATTGTAATAAAAAATGCTATTATTGTGAACTTCAGGGTCTGAACCCGAGACAAAAAAAAATAGGAAATATTTCTCCAGCATATTTGCTGTTTGTGACCCTCTTTCGGAAGAGATTTCTCAAGTTTTTCTAGCTCAAAACCAGAATCACATCTTAAAATTCAACATTTTGCAGTGCTGACCCTGAAGTTCTCAAGCTTCTGATCCTTTGGGTTTTTCAAGGTACATCTGGTTGCTTTTCTGGTGCAGTCGAATCGTTCTTTAGGAAGGTCTGGAGTCGATGAGGAGAAGGTGGAATGGGTTGATCCATCCTGCTTGGCTTTTTTTAACCGATTAATCTTTATAAGCGATCAATTTCAAATTAAAAAAACCCAACTTTTTAGGTCTCTGTCCTACTTAAACTTTTTAGGAGTGGGAGCCTGCCCTTGCCAAGTGGGACTTTGATGGGGAAAGCGGTAGATTATGAGGTTGCTGTTGCTCAGGAATTGATTAGTAAACTTTTAACTACTAATAAAAATCCATTTTTCAATGGATTTTTTAAATAAACCCATTTTCTTAGAACAGTGATATGGGATGTTTCCTAGTGAATAGGAATTAGTTTATATAATTTAGCCTATTAAACTGAATTATTTAAAATTCAAACTTCCCCTAATTTATCTTTTTTTTTGGTTGTTTTATGATTTTTTTTTTTTTATACCAGTAAGTTGTCCTGTCATTCCTTTCATTCCTCCATAGAAGTAGCGTGAATCCTTCTGGTGTGTATATATGTATGTATAATATATATATTTCCACCCTGCCTTTCTAATTCTCCACAATGTAAGAGTTAGGTTTTTTTTTTTCTCCCCTCCCTCCACTTAATTTCTTGTGTCTTTACCTTGATTTGTAATTGAAACGATGCTTTGAAGTTTTGTCTTTATATTAAAGTGTATGTATTTTAATAACCGGACTGTTGTGGAGTTTCACTGCTTCAGCAGGGCAGGGGCAGCACCTGGGGCCGGGCGCTGGGGCTGGAGCTGTAGCTGGTGGTGTGGGCAGGGCCAGGCCCCCGCTCCTCAGCCCTGCCCCCGGAATCAGGCAGCGTGGATAGACCTGGCAGAGCCCGGGGCAGGGCAGAGCCCAGGGCAGGGCAGAGCCCAGGGCAGTGAAGCTCTCTGGGTTTGTCACACTCCCGACATTGCCAACCCACCCTAGTGACAGTTCCCGTTTACCCCCTCAGCCAGGAATTTCACTGAAATCACCCAGGGGATGTGGGACCCCCCCCAGCCTGGGCTGCCCCCCAGCAGCGTGGGCACAGGGCAGGGAGGGGATCCTGCCCCTCTGCCAGCTCTGGGCGACCCCCCTGCAGTGCTGGGGCCGCTCTGGAGTCCTCAGCACAGCAAAGACAGGGAGCTGCTGGAGCGTTCCACTAGCTGCATGCACTGTGCACTGAGCAAGCAGAAAGCTGACGTAGAGTGTTGGGAAGCATATACAGGTTCTTCCCTACTCACCTTTTTGGGGTCTTCTCAACAGCAAACCCTGAACTCTGTCAGGTGCTCCTCCCCTCTGATGTGGGGAGCAGCACTGGGCTGCACAGGACAATCTCTAAACCCCCAGTGTTCATAGGGACACATAGACTAGAGAGAAGGGAGAAATTTGGGATGCTGAGTGTGGTGAGCCCCTGGCCCAGGCTGCCCAGAGAGGTGGTCGCTGCCCTATCCCTGGAAACATCCCAGGTGAGGTTGGCTGGGGCTCTGAGCACCCTGCTCTAGTTGGGGATGTTGGGGTTGGACTGGGTGAGTTTTAATGGTCCCTTCCCACCCAAACCAGTCTGTGATCCTATATGTGTAAACTTGGGAAGGGCTGGCCAGAATCACTCATTCTAAGCTCGTTTGCTGTAGGATTTTTCAAATGAGGTGAAGCTCCTGCTTCACTGAACACTTCCACAGGTCGTGGTTCTAGAGAAAGTTTTTAGATGCTGTGAAGAGGTTGCAGCAGCAGCCTGACCCAGCTCATCTTCCTGCTCACTCAACTGCTTGGCTCTGTCAGCAAAAACCCTCTGAAAAATCCCATTGGGGAGCCATCCACAGCCTGACCTCCAGCCCTACCCTGCTCCTTCTCACAGGGCTGCAGGCACTGGCTCTTGACATCATCTGCTGCTGCTCCTGCTGCTCCTCCATCACCTGGGGTGACACCTCTTGGGTGAGACACCCAGTCCCCCTGGGGCTGAACCAGGCCCTGTGCTCCCTACGGCCGCCCCTGCCCAGCCCGGGGTTTGGGTTCTTAGCACAGTGCTGACTGCCATGAAGATGAAAACAAGTTTTTATTGGAAATGTTCATTGTGCAACAGAGAAATGGCTTCAGCTGGTTTTCAGGGAGCCTGCACCCAGCACTCGCTGAAAGACCAAAAGCAGAGTGATCAGAGTATGGAAAACAATTGTCTGTAAATCACCAGCGGCTGATGCAGATCTCAGTGTCTAGAAGTACCATCTTCCCTTAGTCCTGCAAGCTGGCCCCATGTCCTGGTGCTACTCTAGAAGTGGATGCAGGGAAGTTACTGGCCCTGCTGCTGGCCTGTGCAACTCTTCACAGCACGAGTCTCACATTCTGTTCAGGAACGTCCCTGCGGCCGCCTCGGTGAGCGCTGGGATTATCACTCACTCCCAGCTGCCCCCAGTAACCTCGCAGGAAAATGCCCATTTTATGTACAGTGAGGGTGGTGGGTGCCAGCTCTGCCTCGGCACGGGGTAAGGAGAGGACACTGGTGACAGTCTTGGAAGGCCCACGGCTCAGAACCACTGGCTACTGAAGGTGGTCACGGACCCGCTGAGCCTTGCCGGGGCACCGGGGGGGTTTGTTCACTACAGCTGGCCTAACACTGGCAGAGCTCCTGGGTTTCCTTCAGAAAAAGGTGAATTTGCCCAGGGAGCTGAGCTGGGCCGTGGACATCCCACCTCTGGAAGTGGCTGGAGGGAGCTGGGGGAGCCCACGCTGCAGGAGGGGACACGGTGGCCACAGCACAGCTCTGATCTCCTGCCACGGAGCCTGGGGCGTGTCCATCTGTCCCCTCTCCAGCCACCAGCCAGGCCAGTCTCTTTTTTCACAGTAAGTCAAGCTGCTGAGTGTCCCCCCGGCACATCAGGAGCGTTGCCCCCGCACCAAAGTAATGCTGAGTAGGCCTGTGAGGCTTAAAATGCTCTGTCAAGTCATCTGAGGACACTAATTCCCTAAAGCACAAGCTCTTGTCTGTTCCCACTTTTAATCCCCTGCTGCTGCTTCCACAGGAGGTGCCATCTGTCCTCAAACCTGCCCCGCCTTCCACCTCCACCCTGTTGTGCCCTCAGCTCATCACACAGGGCAGCTGCCCCTCTGCTTGTTTTGGGGATTTCTAGAGCAAGCACCTGGAACCCTGGAAGGGAAAGGGAGTATCTGGGGAGGGAAAGGAAAAATCTGGGCTTGGAGGTTAAAAATAAAGCATTGGTGACATCTGCCACTCCCCTGGTACCCAGCAGCGTGAGGGGAAGAGAGGCCAGGCCACTCGAGCTTGTTTCAGGCTCTTCTTTCAGCATCAGTTCCCAGCCAAAGAGGGAGAGACCCAAGAAGTCCCTTCGACCCCTGAGCACGGCACAGCTCCACCCGGGCTCGTGCCCTGGCAGCACAAAGCTCAGGCCAAACCTCCCTCAGCCCCGAGCTGAGTTCCTGCTGTCATCACCCACCTCGCAGTGTTCCCCAGGAGCCTTTCCTGGAGGTTCTCCTGGTCTGGTTCCAGGGGAAGCAGCTGCTGTGGGAGGCAGGGAACTGGGGCTCCTGCAGCCCTGGCTGTGGGGAGCACCTCTCCACCCCTCGTCTCTGGGTGGTTTTCCTTCGTGCAGCCAGAGCCATGGCTGAAGGAGCAGAGCCCTGAGGGCAGGTGATGTTCTGAAGCTCCTCTCCTCACTGCAGGAGCTCCAGGGCAGGCTGCCCTCCCTCCCTGGCAGTTTTCTGGTCTCTGGACGCTCACAACAGGGAGAAAAGCTGCAGGAAGGCTCAGGGAATGAAAGCTTAATGCCCGGCTGTCACATGCTCCCTGGGCTGGACTTCTGCAGCCCCAGGCTCTCAGATGGAGCAGATCCTGCCTGTACAAACCTCTCCATCTGTCTCCTCTCCCTGGGAAGCTGAATAACCAGGAGCTCAGCCCAGCCCACACGGCTCAGCCGGAGGGAGGGAGGATCACACACATCCCTCAGCCCCATCCCTGCTCCCTCCTGCTCTGCAGCTTTGCTCCCCAGCTCATCCGAGAGCGCGCTCAGGGGTTGCTGTGGGGGCTTCAGCCAACCTCGGGGGATCAGCAGCTCCCACCCAGGGAGGGGAAAGAAGGAACCAACCCCCAGAGGCATGTGGCAGTGGCTGCACAGACCCTGCTGCCGGGCACAGGGGCTGGGGCTGAGCTTCCCACAACTCCCTGCTCCCCAGCTCGGCCCCAGGCTCTGCCAGCAGCTCTGCTCTGCAGTGAACAGGAGAGGGCCTGATGGGCTGAACGCTGCGAGCAGAGCCCTGCCAGCAGCTGGAGCATCCTCTGACAGCAAGGGGATGAACCCTCCGTGGCTCCCTTGCAGATTGCAGGAGGATCCTGAGCCAGAAAAGCCGAGCAGCTCCCTGCAGGAGGGGTGGGGAGGAAGAGGAGGGTTCGAGCTGGCTCAGGGCCTGCCCCGGAAGCCTGCGCTGGAGGACGCAGGTGCTGGGGGCTCCATTCCCCCCCTGCCTCCTCCTCTCTCCCTTGGAGCCAGGGTGGTTTCACTCCCACCCTGCAGCAGCCCGGTGTCAGCTCCAGGCCACGGTCTGCGGGGAGCAGTTGCACCGTCTGCCTGCAGGCTGGGCCAAGTGGGAATGTGCAATGAATTCCCTTTAAAAAAAAAAATTCCTACAAAACGATTTGGCTAATAAATTAAAAAGTCACTTGGTCACTGCTGAGGGGAGCTGCTGCTGTTGGCCCCGGGCGGGGGGCTCAGGGTTACTGCTTGTGTGCTCCCAGCTGGAATCGGGCTTCCTCGGAGATCCCGTACTGCTCCAGCGGGTCCTGCACAAGAGCACAGGGAAGGCACCCGTGAGATGTGGACAAGGAGGGACCGTCCTCTGACCAGCCTGTGCTCCAGGACTGAGCCTGGTGCAGATTCCACCCACATGCTGGATTTGCCCCAGTGCAGCCCCTCGCTGGCTGCTGTTTCTGGTGCAGGAAGACTCTCAGGCCTGGCTGCCGAGGCCGCAGCTCCAGGCACTGGCTGGCTACGGGATCCCTTTCACACACAGAGCAGTGCACAGCCCTGTGCAGGGCAGCTGGCAGCAACTCCCCAGACCACCAGCCCCTGCTCCACTCCAGACCCACCAGCCACCCCCTGCCAGGCTGGCTTCAAGGGACTCACCTTCCCTGTCATCTTCTGGATCTCGTTCCGGTAGAAGATCAAACTCCTCCTCATGAACTCATAGCTGTAAGACAGGAACAGACCAGGCTGAGCAGAAGAGGATGTGGAGAAGTTTCAGATGCTATTTAGAACTGAAGGGAAGTTTGCCGGGGAGGACACAGCCACTTTCCTCCCTGTGTTCACCCCAACCTGATCCCAGAACACAAGGAGCAGGAGGACCCAACCCAGAGCTCACAGCAGCACTCAGTACCTGGCTCTCTTCAGCGCCTCGACCCACTCCTGGCACTGCTCCTCACTGTCGCACTCAAAGCAGTATTTCCTCTCCGGCTCCTCAACGAAACCTGCCAGGAATAAGGAAAAGGGCTAAGGGAGGTCCTGGCAGAGCTGCCTGCGCTCTGCTGTGTCCCTCCCCAGGCTCTGCCAGGCCACAGCTGGCAGCTCTGACCTGTGGGCGGGCTGGTGGCCCCAGCCCCGGCCCCTCTCCCCCTCCTTGGGTGGCTCCCGACAGCATTCGGCAGCTTAGGGCAGCCAAAGACCTCGGAGAGGACCAAGCAGCTTCTCTGAGTGTGAGCAACAGCTCGGAACTGAACCAGAGCAGCAGGGCCAGGTTTGGGACAGGAACTCCCTGAGAGTCCTCACAAAGCCATCAGAGATCCAGTGGCCACAGAAGGAAACGACCCCGAGGAAATGATTTTGATCTGTGCAGAGGTGCTGCTGGAGGAGTTAAACTGTGCTCCCAGGAGGCACTGACCCAGCTTTGCAGGAGGAATATGGGCATTTGGTAGCTGTGCACGGTGGAAAATGAGCTCCCCCCTGACAAGTGCAGATCTTTAGCAAGACAGAATCAGGACACCTAATTAATGACCTTGTCCCCAGAGCTCTGCTCTCGAGCCCACAGCCCACAGATC